ATTTTAAAGTTAATTCTACTTGATCACACTATACTCTGTCAAAATCATATGAGGGTGTGGGCAAACTCTACTTACTATATCTAGCATGTGATCTAACTAAAATTTATACCCATACTTTCTTAGTAGCTTGATCATAATATACTAAAGATACATATAAACTATTCTTCTAAAATCCTCGCACCTTTATACAATTGACACAAAAATTAACCTTTTCCAACATTAGTTGTTATGTTTTTATGACCTCTTGAAATCTCATGCATGTTACCAGTTCATGTATAAGACACCCCCCCACACCAAGCCAAATTCCGAAAATAGAAATACAATTAAAGTAAATAATTCAAATCCTGAGCATGTTTGCATGAGATAAAATATTATCGTTATAGGAGGCAATAGGGTGTTAAAAAATGATAAATCTATTTTTTTTAAACTGCATCTTCTTTATTTGCATACTTTTAAGTTCAGAACAAAATAAAACAAACAAAAAACCACAATACACAACACCCAACCCTGCTATTCTGTGGGAGGGGGTCTTCCTGCCTTAAGGCTCAAGAACAGGATAGGAGATTCTTGTAGACATGAGCCAGTGGGTCAGGGCCAGTCAAGGCTGCTGGGGGAGCCGCAGGGATACTATACAGAGGGCAGGGGTTGCTGGGAGCCTTTAATCCACTTCTTCCATGCGAAAGACATCCTCATCACCTTCCAGTGGGGGGATCTCATCAGGAACAGCAGCACTGGGCTCTTCCGCAGTGACCTCATCTTCATCAATGCCCAGGCCCAGTTTAATCATGCGGTAGATGCGGTTCGAGTGGGTTTGGGGATCCTCAAGTGAGAAACCAGAGGAGAGCAGGGCAGTTTCAAACAGCAGCACGACCAGATCCTTGACAGCTTTGTCGTTTTTGTCCGCCTCGGCCTTCTGCCGCAGGGTCTCCACAATGGGATGGTCAGGGTTGATCTCTAGGTGTTTCTTGGCCATCACGTAGCCCATTGTAGAGTTGTCTCGAAGTGCCTGAGCCTTCATGATCCGTTCCATGTTGGCTGTCCAGCCATAGGTGCTTGTCACAATGCAGCAGGGGGAAGACAAAAGCCTATTGGAGATTGTCACTTTTTCAACCTTCTTGTCCAAGATCTCCTTCATGAGCTTGCAGAGATTCTCAAACTTTGCCTTGCTCTCCTCCATCTTCTTCTTCTCTTCCTCATCCTCTGGTAGCTCCAGGCCCTCCTTAGTCACTGAGACCAGGCTCTTTCCATCAAATTCCTTGAGCTGCTGCACGCAGTACTCATCGATAGGCTCAGTCATATACACCACCTCAAAGCCCCGCTTCCGCACACGCTCCACAAAGGCAGAGTTAGCCACTTGCTCTTTGCTCTCACCAGTGATATAGTAGATGGACTTCTGTGTCTCCTTCATGCGAGACACATACTCTGACAGGGAAGTCATCTCATCTCCAGACTGAGAGGTGTGATAGCGAAGGAGCTCAGAGAGGCGGCGACGGTTCGTGGAATCTTCATGGATTCCAAGCTTTAAATTCTTGGAGAACGCCTCATAAAACTTCTTGTAGTTCTCTTTGTCTTCAGCCAACTCTGAGAAGAGCTCAAGGCACTTCTTCACAATGTTTTTGCGGATGACTTTCAGGATCTTGCTCTGCTGGAGCATTTCTCGGGAGATGTTCAGAGGCAGGTCCTCAGAGTCAACCACACCACGGATAAAGTTGAGGTACTCGGGGATCAGCTCATCACAGCTGCCCATGATGAACACACCACGGATGTACAATTTGATGTTGTTCTTCTTCTTCTTGTTCTCAAAAAGGTCAAAGGGAGCTCGCCGGGGAATGAAGAGCAATGCCCTGAATTCCAATTGACCTTCTACAGAGAAATGCTTGACTGCCAAGTGGTCTTCCCAATCATTGGTGAGGCTCTTGTAGAATTCACCATATTCCTCCTGAGTAATGTCATCTGGGTTTCTGGTCCAGATAGGCTTCGTCTTGTTCAGCTCTTCCTGGTCAATGTACTTCTCCTTGATCTTCTTTGTTTTCTTTTTCTTATCTTTGCTGCTGTCATCCTCCTCATCAGATCCCACATCTTCAATCTTAGGCTTTTCCTCATCATCCTTCTCTTCCTCCTCTTTCTCACCTTTCTCTTCCTCTGCCTCATCATCACTGATCTCCTTCTCTCGCTCCTTCTCCAAGTAGAGGGTGATGGGGTAGCCTGTGAACTGGGAGTGCTTCTTCACCACTTCCTTGACCCTCCTCTCCTCCAAATACTCTGTCTGGTCTTCTTTGAGGTGAAGAATGACTTTGGTACCCCGGCCAATGGGCTCACCATGGTCAGCACGGACGGTGAAGGATCTGCCAGCAGCAGACTCCCAGGCGTACTGCTCATCGTTGTTGTGCTTTGTGATCACAACCACTTTCTCTGCCACAAGGTAGGCCGAGTAGAAGCCGACACCAAACTGGCCAATCATGGAGATGTCTGCACCAGCCTGGAGAGCCTCCATGAAGGCCTTTGTGCCAGACTTAGCAATGGTTCCCAAGTTATTAATGAGGTCAGCCTTGGTCATGCCAATGCCAGTGTCCATCAAGGTCAACGTGCGCTCCTGAGGGTTGGGGATGATGTCAATTTTCAGCTCTTTCCCGCTGTCCAGCTTGGAAGGGTCTGTGAGGCTCTCATACCGAATCTTGTCCAGGGCATCAGAAGCATTAGAGATCAACTCCCGGAGAAAAATCTCCTTGTTTGAATAGAAAGTGTTGATGATGAGAGACATCAGCTGGGCAATTTCTGCCTGAAAGGCAAAGGTATCCACCTCTTCCTCTCCATGGTGCACTTCCTCAGGCATCTTGACGGGAAAGCCGAGTGGTAGTAGAGAGCAGGGTGGTGGGCCCGGACCACGTCCGACTCGCACGGCAAACCTAGGTTGTGCGGGGGTGACTCGATAAATCTATTTTTAATCAGTCACATGACTTAGTTCTGACAGAATGAAGTCAGCCTTGTCACACCAGTCAATCTGGTGGTTGTGCATCGCGAAAGAAAGCAAAGACAATGCTGGATTCAGATTTCTTCACACATATGTTTCAGATGCAGATCATAGACTCTACTAATAAAGTGTCAGTAATCATTTTATTCTTTTTACCAGCTATATTTAAAATCAATTGTCCTTTCTATATCCATTGCCTTTGTCATTATTATAAAAGACAAAAATTTGGGGCCATAGATAAAGCAGAATGCTAATGGAAAATATGGGAGTCTTCTCTCAAGGGCCAGATCTTGTCATTTCAGCAAACTTCCTATACTCCAATGTACAGGAATGTAATTAAGGCTACATATTCAATGTAAAGTCATTAGGTATAATGCTACAATGTACATACTATACTCCAAAATTCATATTATAGTGACACATTAATAGGAGAAAAAGTTTAAGCTGCCTCAATGTAATTATTTTTCCATCAGAGACTGCTATGATTCCTTATGTTTTAAGTGCTCAGGCCTGACGCTGAGCATGTTTAGATATTGAGGAGCCTTCCCAGATGAAGCACTTTGTGATTGTACATATCATGGGACACTTCTTCATTCCTCCTCTTCTTCTTATTTGCATCCAGTCATAAAGAGAATGGGGATCATTTGCCATCCACTCTTGTACTACAGACAGGAAGTGTAGGCATGATATTTGTGGACAATGTGTAGTTTACCCTTGTGTTATTTAAATGCTGATTTCTCTGCCTTCATATATTGTTTTAATGGTGACATAGTATTGCAATGCTTATACCAAGAATCTTCTGTCTCAAGTTTGTGTAAATAGTTCTTACCATTTATTCTCTGCCGTCTCAATAAATGCTGATCACCCAACGGCTTGACAGAATAGAAATTAGGGCAGGACCTCTGCAAACCAGAGAAAGAAGGGAGGAGAGAGAAGAGGATTCAGATCAGGAAGAGGATGGATGATTTGGAGCTGTAAAGAAGTAAAAAAGGGGTCGAGAGAATGAGAGAGAGAGAGAGAGAGAGAGAGAGAGAGAGACAGAGACAGAGACAGAGAGAGAGACATAGAGAGAGACAGAGAGAGAGACAGAGAAAGAGACAGAGAGACAGAGACAGAGACAGAGAGAGAGATACAGAGAGAGAGACAGAGAGAGAGACAGAGGCAGAGAGACAGAGAGACAGAGAGACAGAGAGAGTGAGACAGAGCAAGACCGAGAAAGACAGAGAGAGATCATGGAAACACACTTGAAGCCTATAGTGTGAGATCAATAATAACATACATCTATCACGGGATTGGGCTGAGTAATAGACAGAAAGTAAAGATAGATCATTTAATTTCTGCTCAGGTAGTGAGGTAAAGTTTTCAATAACCTCAGCTTCTCTGGACAGTTATTCGGGACTAGCATAAATTAAAGATATACAGCTGCCGAGTTACTTTACTGAAATATTTATAATAAAGATTTACAAGGAGGGTCCATGGACATGGACTAACCTCTCTAAAACTCTGAAGCAACTTAAACATTTCTTCTGAATAATTTATTTTATCTCAGGTGTTTAGATATTTAAAAAAATCTATTGGATTTTTGTGAATTTCACCTCATGTACCCCAAGCCTACTCATTTCCCCTTTCGCTTGAAGCTGCCCTATAACTTGGTAACCTCAAACTAACAGATGCGGATGGCATCACAGGCTGCTCATATCAGGATGCTCCTCACTATCCTCAGGTCTCCATTTCTGCCTCTTTTCATTGTGCCCACATGCTGCTGCTTTTCATTCCCTTCAATTTCTCTACCACTTACTTGCTACTTGTAGAGGCGCCACTTACTTGCGCCCTGAGTTTCTGATTTTTTGTGCTTAGTCTTGGTAGTGATTTCAGGAATGCTATGCCTCCTACCTGTTCAGTATGGCACCAGGCAGTTGTCATCTCTAGCATGTCTGTCCTCTCAGGCCCATGAGTCACTGGACTGGTGGTCCTCTCGGGCTTGTGTTTTGTTTGTTTGTTTGTTTTGTTTTGTTTTCTGTTTTTTAAGAACATTAGACTACTAATTATTTAAATGTTCACGTGTCAGAATATTTTGCACAGACATAGCCTATTCTCTGTCACCTAGTAATGCACATGGTACACAGCAGCTACTCCTGGGACATTTCTGTGGCCAGTTTCAAGTATTTATTATAATAGAAAAAAAGCTGAATAACATTGAGATTAAAAACAATAACATTCTTCCCTCTGAGTTGCAACAGACTAAAATAAAGACAGTTATATACTAATACTGAAATATATGTTTGGAAGCTATTCAGAGAATAAATTTACAAAATTAGAATAGACGAGTTTGAGATAATAGAGACAAATGTTACATTCATTTTTTTTTAAGTGTGGATCATTTAAAGATAGCTCTTTGTAAAACACCATTACAGAAACTATGATATATTTGAAGGAATCTGTATATATAAAGATATAAAATGGATAACAACCCTTGTCTTGAGAAAGTGTAGCAAAATATTCACACAAATGCATACTGGGAAGAAAAAAGTAAATATATAAATACGAATGACGGTAAGTCAGAGTAAATGTCAAGAATTTTATTCATGTCTAGCTGCTAGCGTTTACACAACACTGGGAAAATATAAAATTAAAATCTTTGCTTCATCTTATTTCTATTTTGTTGGCTACTGCCAGAAAGAAATGAATCTAACCTGCATCTATTAGTGGAGTTGTAAATCAATATAATCCTCTCTATCTATCAGCTAGTAGACTGTTCTTGCATGAGCCATTGGCATTTCAGTGAACTACAAGGAAAGAATTCCCAACTCTCTTCATAGTGTATGCTCTTAGGGTTGTGTATGTGAGTGAGAGGCACATTAATCCTTAAAGTATACCTCTCAATCTACTCATCTGTCAGTAGCTCTTAAGGTGCCACTAAATATATAGTATGTGCCCAGTACATTAGCACCAACTTTTCCTTTTTTCCTTCATACTATCATTGCTATTCAATATTAATGTTATTTATTCTTTAAATTACTAAACTATCTCCTAATTCTAAATGTTATTCCTCGGTAATTAACTTGCTGCTCATCTCACCCTTCACCTTCCTCCCTCCCTCTTTTTCTGCTCCTCTTCCTCATCCATCCTCCCTGTATTTCTCTGTGATAGGGGAACTGAATCTAGGTTCCTGTGCCCTGACAATAATAACACGTAGTCTATTGTTTAATTAAAGTGTTAGTTTTTTTTGTTTATCTCCAATAATCAGTCAACATACAATCTATGCAACATTATTCTGCTGAACTACATATACCGTGGCTTATTTTTATGAAGTGTTCCAGTCTGCAAAGTATTGAAAGGATTGAAAAGTATGGATTTTTTCCATTAAAGTGGTTTATTGGGTTTGTTTTTTTGTTTTAGCTCTGATTGTTTGACACTCTGCAGAACAGTGTCTGATGAGACAACATGTTTGCGTTCCCTTATTAACTACAATACCTTATAGAATTTACCTCTATTTATGCCCATTATCAGATTCTGTTTTGAGATGTCACTAAGTGTTTAACCTTTACCATGTTGATAAATTCGTCAGGGTATGTTGTATTGTTTGATGGCACCAATAGGCAAAATTCATAGCAGAATAATGTGATTTTTACTTTTAATCCACTGATAACAACGCGAAATGCTTGATCAAAAGAAATTACACATATTGTCAGACACATTATCTATAAAAATGCCCACACTGTGACAAAAAAGAAAAACTCAATCCAGAAAGATTCTGTTTCTTCTTTTTTCTTACTGAGTATTTTCAAATAGTCAATCTCATTATAACTGAACTAATCAATGTGCAGTTTAGTAGAACTAGAAATCATGTTATTTGAAATACTTCAGTATCTTATGACACGTAATAGAAGGAATCTAAAAAATATTATTTAGTTTTAAAAATATTGCAGGATTCAAATTGTGTCTTATATACATTATCTTTTCATATATTATACCATTATTATATGTATTTCTCTTGTACATTATTCATGTTTATATATTATATAGATTATTTTTACAATTCCAATAAAATTCTACTTATATATGATGTGGATGCTGATGTAAATTTATGTTTGCACACTGAAGTGAAAATTGCTAGACTAACCAGTCTTAACATCTCTCAATCAACACACCTGGAATATCATGTGTTGATATACAGGATATTGAGTTTAATATAATAATGGAAAATTTCCAAAAGCTACTCAAGTACAGATAGCCATTCATAAAGATTTGCTTCAAAAGTGTTGTGCATTTTATTCCCAATGGGAAATAAGTAACTTGAATAAGATCTTTTCCGTTACGGTCTCAAAGGGTTGAAGTACACTCAAACAGCTGTGATCTTAGAAGAATATTTGTGCACGTGTGTGACTGATAAGCCTTTAACACCTATAAATTTATGTATTTTTCTGATCTTAGAGAAGCCTCTTCCATCTCCTTTCCTACATGCTTTATATTCTGCTTTTCTTATGAACACACTGTGTTCCAGAATGAGCTTCTGGTCTTGGTGGATGTATAAAATTATATGGTTTTATAAAAGAAGAGGCCATGACCAATATAATAATAGAGAAGGTACCCTATATACTACTTCTTTTATATTCCACCATAATTTAATATTGGCTGAAAATTGACCTATTTTTCAAAGCTAAGGGTGACATTTATTTGGTTTAGATTAGCATACTTTATAGTTTAGAATAAAATAATCACATAATACGAAACTCACATTCCTCTCCTCTTTCTTGCAATAAAATCCCATGCCAATGGCCAAAATGAACTTCTGCCACTTTAATATACTATACAACCTTATTTCTAAAAGTTAAAAGTAATCTTGGATATTAATAAGACATTGAATCATGTAAACCTACTAATGTCCCCCATCATTGTAAGTGACTGACTGGAGTAAGATGTACTAAAGGTTTTGAACTGAAGCGGCAGAGTTCTGGAGAACAATATTTGAGCCATTTACCACTAATCACAGGATAGTGAAGTAATTATTATACTAGATAGTGATATTCAGTGAGAACTCTTAAAGTATAAAATATTATTATTTCTTCATAATATGATAATAAGGATTTAAAGTATCATTAACAATATCACAGGGGCTCAACAAAAATTGACATATAAATTGTATTACTGGTACTAAAACAAGCAGGCAACAGAACCCCATATCATTCTAATAACAATTATGATGCTAAATTTGACATGATTATTCTCTTAAAACATATTATGCTCAAAAAGAGATAGGCTATATTAGGTTTTATGCAAACAAATTGGGAGAGAATAGAGACATCTCAAGGTTTCACAGGAGACAAAAACAAAGGAGTTGGAAGATCAGCATGATACATATCACCTGAACATGGCTATGGCCAGCCTACACATGAGTCCAAGAACAGGAAAGAATCAGCTTTGAACCACAAAGGAAAGTTAGGCCAGAATCTGAAAAAAGTGTCGTCATATGAACAAAGGGACCATCAAAGGATAAAGCAAATTTGTAAATTATGCATATACATATGTATATGTATACACACATATGTGTATATGTTGTTGCTATAAAAAACTAAATTAAGTCTTCAAAAAGAATACAAATAAATTATTTGATGTGCAAGTCATAAACTTGGGAAAGCAAGAACAAACTAAATCCAAATGCTGTCAATGGCAAAGAGATAAAAATAATCGAACCCAGAACTTTTAATAGGAAAATATAAAGAAAATATAAAGTGAGAATAAATTGGAATTGATTTTAATGAGTGATCCTATTCATATATTCATACATTATTAAACACAGTCAGACCTATGGAAAAGAATTGATGAGAATGAAATTAAAAAAAAAAAAGTATTCCCCTGTCAGTCTTTGACAGAGTAATTAATATATTGACTTGAGGAATCAAAGACAAGTATTAGAAAATTTCTTCATTATGTTCTTAAAATAATAACCAACTAAAATTTAAGAGGTGTTAAATAGAATTTGTTAAGTTAGATTAAGAATTGGTGGTTGGAAAACATTTTATACCATGTACTTTGATGAAGATTTATTTTTAAATTTGTGATGGAATAATTATGGATATGTTTGAATAGCTATTCTTCCATTTCTAAACATGTAGCTCCCTAAGAATACTAATTATATGTCATATGATACCTATATCTATAACTATATCTATATACTATCTCTATCTCTATCTATATCTCTAACTATATCTATATATCTATATCTATATCTGTATCTATATCTATATATATGTTTGTTTTATAAAATAGTTACCCATGAAATTACAGAATCAAATTATGTTATAATATTTCTGAAGTTGCATAGTTTGATTCTTTAGTTATTGAATTTGTAACTGATTTGGAAAACAAGAGCTTTTTTTTATATTCTTTAAATAGCCTTTTATAATATTCCATTATTTTCCAATTTGTGCAAGCAAGACCAATATATAGTTTTACTATAGTGTATTTATCAAAAAATTATAAACATACATATAGGAATGTAGTTTGAAATAAGTAATCATCTCTCTGAAATACATGGAGAATAGTTTAATCAGATTGAATGTGTTTACAGTGTTGAGTTTTCTAACAGTCCATTTATCATAAAAAATAACTATATGCCATTCTTAATTATCAAAAAGCATTGGTAAGGTTAATAATAATCTTATTTTATAAATAAAAAACTGAGTTTCATTGAAAAATACTCTTGATCATTCAGCTGAATTTATTTGTGTGAGTGTATGTATACTAGCCTGTAGAAGTACTGTCTGCAAAAATTAATCTGATAGAAGTTAGTCAAATATTGAGGAGAAAGAGAGTGGTGGGTAAGGGAGGTGAGAGAGTAGGAGAGAAAGAAGAGTGAGAGAGAAAGAAGAGAAGAGAAGAATGACAGGGCAAGAAAGAGGGAGAGGGAGGGAGGGAAAAATGGGGAGGGAGAGGAGGAGGGGAAAAGGGAGAGAGAGAGTGAGAGAGAGAGGAGAAGATCAGAGGAAAGGAGAGAGAAAAGAGAAAGACAGGAATAGGAGAGGGAGAAGAGAATGACACAGAGACAAAGAGAGGGAGAGTGAGGAGACAGAAGAGGAAAAAGAGAGACAGGAGAAGAGGAAAAAGAGAGGAGAGAGACAGACACACACACAAACAAACACACACACAAACACACA